GTTTTAATTTTAATTTTTACCATTTTACGTGGTATTTTTGTATTATTATATGCCTGAAAAGATGTGTATGTGTGTGTGTGTGTGTGTTTGTGTTTGTTGTTGTGCACATGTCTGTATCTGTGTGAGTTTGTATTTGTGTGTGTGTGTGTGTGTGTGTGTGTGTGTGTGTGTGTGTGTGTGTGTGTGTGTGTGTGTGTGTGTGTGTGAATTATAGTGACTCCAAATTTTTGTTTGAAAAATAACATTACTCGTGAAGGTCGAACTGGCAAATGAAAGTAAAAAACAGAGTAAAAAACAAGTTATAAATGACAAATTAGCAAATAAAATGCACACAAAAAATGACATTGAGTTTCTGTAAATACTTTTCAAGAATATACGAAAATAATCTAAAAAATACATGGAAGACAGACAACAATAAATACAAGAAATAACTAATCACAAACATACAAATGTCAATAAATAAACAAACAAACAAACAAGCAGAAACAAACAAACAAAAACTAACAAAGTAAAAGATAAAAACATACAAGTACAGAAGATGGCACACGGAGTATGTATGTATGTATGTAGTGGAATGGAATGGAATTGAAATGGAAGAAAAAGTCAATTTGCTAATGTGAAAAGAGATTGAGAAGACTGACAAATAACACATGGATACGCACGCACACAAATACGCACACACACACACACACAAATACATACAGACAGACATACAGACAGATATACAGACAGACATGAAGAGATAATTCCACGCCGTGATGACGTTTGAAAAAATTGATGTCTGAATGGATGACTGCTCTGTTGTTATGGTGCTTTTTTTGTGCTGCTCTTTTTATTATCATTATTATTATTATTTTTATTTTATTATAATTATTTTTATTATTATTATTGTTGTTGTTGTTGTTGTTGTTGTTGTTGTTGTTGTTGTTGTTGTTGTTATTTTTATCCTACCCACATAAGTAGCAGTAGTAGTAGCATCTTCATCATCATTGCCATCATCATCATCATCATTATTAATTATATTATAAATATAATAATTATTATTTATATTATTAATGTTATTATTAATTTTTTTATTAATTTACATTATTTTTGTAACTTTATGGCCAGTATAAGTCAGGCTGACAACGAACGACTAATGTTGTTTATGGTAGAGAAATCAGAATACTAAAAAAATACCAAAACGAAAATTTCATTACCATCATCGTCATCATCATTATCATCATCATCTTCTTTTTCTTCTCCATCTTGTCATCATAATACAAAAAATACCAAAATGAAAATTTCATTAACATCATCATCATCTTCTCCTTCTTCTCCTTCTTCTTCTTCTTCATCTTGTCATTATCATCGTCTTTGTCGTTGTCGTCGTCGCCAAAATTGTCATCATAAGACGCAACAACATCAACAACAACAACATCAACATCACTAATATCATCATCAACAACAACATCAACAACAATACCAACAACAACAACAACATCAACAGCAAACAACACCTACAACAACAACACCTAAAACATTAACGACAACTACAGCAACAACCTCCGCTACATTAACTAACAACAACATCAACAACAACAACATCCAGTATAGAAT